TGTGTGAGAGACAGAGAGAGAGTGTGTGTGTGTATGTGTGAGAGACAGAGAGAGAGTGTGTGTGTGTCTGTGTGTGAGGGGGAGAGACAGAGTGTGTGTGTGTAACTGTATACTCATGTACACACTGGTATGTCTACAGGAGTGTGTATATGTGTGTGCTTGTACACAGAAATGAATGGTCACAGTGATAGCCTCCACTGTGGGGAAGGGGATTAAAAGCTGCCGTATTGTTTACTTGTCTGCTGTTCTTATATGGACCAGAGTGAATAAGAACAGCAAACAAGTAAAGACCAAGATAGCTTGCATCTCAACAGCAATGTGGTCAACACTGGACTGCCCTCAGAACTGTCTCAAGGGTCATTGGGATTGGACAATAAATGCAGCCTAATCAGCAATAACCACATCGCATGAAAGGATTAATAAAAAAGGAGGCAGATACTAAATGAACAGCTCTGTTCATCCACCTTGCTGAGTTACTGAGAGGGCAGACAAGGTAACAGATTCCCTTATTAGCGAAGCCGATAGGATGGACTGGCTAATAGACAACAGAGAGTTGGGATGAGGAAGTATTTTCAGGACATTAATCCATAACTGGTGGAGCGCCACAGGGATCCATGCTGCTACAACATTTATTTAAAGTGTTTAGTAATGAGTGGGAAGAGGATAGTGATAGTACTATCACCAAGTTTGTGGCTGATGCAACAATAGGTGGGAAGGTAAGTGGTGAGGGTTACACAAAGAGTCTGCAGAGGGATATAGGTTCAGTGAGTGAGCACAAACTTGGCATTTCTTTTCATTCACGGGATGAGAGTGTCGCTGACTAGGTCAACATTTATTGTCCATCCCTAATTGCCCAGAGGGCAGTTAAGAGTCATCAACATTGCAGTGGGTCTGGAGTCACATGTAGGTCAGACCAGGAAACAACATTATTGAATTAGATGGGTTTTTCCAACAATTGACAATAGGTTTCATGGTCATCATTATTTCTTAATTCCTGACTTGTATTGAATTCAAATTCCACCATCTGTCATGGCAAGATTTGAACCCAGAACATTAGTTTGGTCTCTAGATTAGTAGTTTACTGATAATACCACTTATCCATTAGCTCCCCTATAAGGGGAAGAAATCCAGGAGCAGCATGGAGGCTCAGTGGTTAGCACTGCTGCCTCACAGCACCAGGGACCCGGGTTCCATTCCACCCTTGGGTGACTGTGTGGAGTTTGCACATTCTCCCTGTGTCTGTGTGGGTTTCCTCCAGGTGCTCCAGTTTCCTCCTACACCCAAAGATGTGCAAGTTAGGTGGATTGGCCATGCTAAATTGCCCATAGTGTCCAGGGATGTTCACGCTGTATGGATTAGCCATTGTAGGTGTGGGGTTAGGGGATACCACGAGGGGCTGGTCTGGGTAGGATGCTCTTCAGTGTAGGGGCCGAATGGCCTACTTCCACACTGTGGGCTTCTATGATTCTGTGATGTGAGGGTAGCACGTTGGTATGAAGAATAAGAACATAAGAAATCGGAGCATAGGATATTAGGCCATTCAACCAATCGAGCCTGCTTGGCCATTCAATCATGTCCTATATGTTTCTCAACCCTATTCTCCTGCCTTCTCCCCATAACCCTTGATGTACCCATACCAATCAAGAACCAATCTATTTCTGACTTAAAGACACTCAATGACTTGACCTCCATAGCCCTCTGTGGTAATCAGTTCCGAAGAGTTACGAACTTCTGGCTGAAGAAATTCTTTCTCCTCTCAGTTCTAAAGAGTCGTCCCTTCACTCTGAGACTGTGGCCCTGTGTCCTAGTCTCTCCTACTGGTGAAAACATCTTCTCCACATCAACTCTATCCAGGCCTCTTAGTATTCTGTAAGTTTCAATCCTTCCTCATCCTTCTAAACTCCATTGAATACATATGACAAGCCCTTCATTCCCAGGATCTTTCTTGTAAACTTCCTCTGGACCCCTTCCAACACCAGCACATTGTTCCCTAGATATGGGGCTCAAAACTGCTCACAAATGCAGTCCAACCAGAGCCTTTTACAGCTTCAGCAGTACATTCCTGCTCTTGCATTCTAGCCCTCTCGAAATTAATGCAAACATTGCATTACCTTCCTAACTGCCAACAGAACCTGCACGTTAACCTTAAGAAAATAAGATTCCTAAGTCCCTTTGTGCTTCAGATTTCTGAAGCCTTTCTCCATTTAGAAAATGGGTCTAGGCCCGAAACGTCAGCCTTCCTGCTCCTCTGATGCTGCTTGGCCTGCTGTGTTCATCCAGCTCTACACCTTGTTATCTCTGTGCTTTTATTCTTCCTACCAAAGTGCAAAACCTCACACTTTCCCACACTGTATTCCATCTGCCACTTCTCTGCCCACTCTCCTAGCCTGTCCAAGTCTTTCTGCAGCCTCTCCACTTCCTCCACACTATCTGTCCCTCCACCTAGTTTTGTGTCAAATGCAAACTTAGCAACAATGTCCTCAGTTCCTTCGTCCAGATTGCTATTGTATAATGTGAATAATTGTTGGTCCAACACTGACCCCTGCAGAACTCCTCTAGTCACCAGCTGCAATCCTGACAAATACCTCTTTATCTCCACTCTCTGCCTTCTACCAGTCAGCCAATCCTGTATCCATACCAGTACCTTGCCCCTAACTCCATCAGCTCTTATCTTATTTAGGAGCCTCCTGTGCAACACATTGTCAAAGGCCTTTTGGAAATCCAAATAGATTGCATCTAATGGCTGTCCTTTGTCTAACTTGCTGGTTACTTCCTCAAAGAATTCTAACAGGTTTATCAGGCATGACCTCCCCTTTACCAAGCTGTGCTGACTCAGCCTTGTTTTATCATGCACTTCCAAGTACTCTGCAACCCCATCTTTAATACCGGACTCTCAAATCTTACCAAAGACCAAGGTCAAGCTAACCGCCTATAGTTTTCTGTGTTCTGTCTCCCTTCTTAAACAGGGGTGTTACATTAGCCATTTTCCAGCCCTCTGGGACTCTCCCTGACTCCAGTGATTCCTATTACCACCAATGCCTCCACAATCTCCTCAGTTCTCTCCTTCAGATCCCTGGGGTGCAGTCCATCTAGTCCGGGTGATTTATCCACCTTCAGACCTTTCAGCTTGTCCAGCTCCTTCTCCTTAGTGATGGCCACTATACTCACCTCTACCCCTGACTCTCTTGAATTCCTGCTTTGCCATTGGTGTCCTCCACTGTGAAAACTGATGCTAAATACCTATTCAGTTCCTCCACTGTTTCTTTATTCCCCATTCCTACTTCTCTGGCCTCATTTTCCAGCGGTCCAATGTCCACTCTTGTCTTTCTCTTACCTTTTAGATATCTAAAAGAGCTCACAAACTTCTTTTATATTATTAGCTAGCTTACTCTTTTATTTCATCATCTGCGCCACTATTGCTTTTTAAGTTATCCTCTGCAAGTTTTGAATCCTCTGGCTTCCCATTAATCTTCTCCACATTATACGCTTTTTTTCTC